TCCCGCCAAAACCCCCCCCATACAAAATATGTTTTTCATGCTTCATTTTAAAGTGTTCTTACAGACAAACTTAGAACGCTGGTCAGGTTTGTATTGCTGGGTAGATTCACCCCTCCTGTTTCCTATTTGTCCAGGGGATACCATGATAAAAGCGATATCCTCTCACTTCATGTTGTGTTACTAGGACAAGGAATAAACAAATCTCCCCCATGGGACATATAGACATTGTCTATTGTCTGCGCTGGGGTTCTATTCCCCTCTAAATGTTTTGGCCTTGGATGCACATGGTCAGCAGTTTCCTTCCTCCCAGCTCTGCTTTCAGGCACTTTCTCGGTTGCTTTTTCTTACAGTCATAGCAGAACAGTATAGAGGGATTAAAAGAGACAATGAAAAATCACTCGCATGTTCCACAATGGCATTGTAATGAGAATGAATCCAGCAGGGTGCAAACTGCAGCATTTTGCAGTTTGAACACATGCTGCTAATTTTCATATGGGCAGATGAAAGAGGACCTGCATGATCATGTGTTTTTAGAATGAACTTTAACATGTATGGACAAACAATAGATGTAAATGATTATTTTAACAATTAGGAAGCGTGTAAAATTGTGCCCATAAAACAACCTGTTGTGGAGTCTTGTAATGCAAATCTAGAGTTTTTTTAGGGGGTCGGGCACCATAGAACCGCAGTTGGGTCATCCCCTGGTGGACGATATTATTGGGATAGTAATAGGAGACCTGCATTTTCCTGCAGCTTCATTTCCTGATTTTAGAAAAGAGGGATTAGAGATAAAGCAAAGGCTGAAGCATAAGGCCTTGTTCACACCAGATGCAGTGCGTTTCGGCCTGATTCTGACCAAAACGTACTGCATCGCATTGCGGACGGCTCACTATGTTGTGGGGCAGGAGGAGGCGTGGCGATCCATTGAAGCGAATGCCGCACGGTATCACAAGGCACATTATGCCTGCGGTCCGAACAAAATGCTGATTCTCTGATGTGAGAAGGGGGGACTCTGATGTGAGAAGGGGGGACTCTCAAGTGAAGGGGAAACTCTGACTTGAGAGGGGGGACTCTGACGTGAGAGGGGGACACTGATGTGAGAAGGAGGGGGGCTCTAATGTGAATAGGGGCTCCCTATTTCAAGGAGGGACTCTGATTTGAAGGGGGTACCTCATTTTTTGCTCATTTTGGCTTGAAGCCCCCTAAAGCCCATACCACACCCTTTCTGGGATAAGGGTCTGCTTTGGATTTTGGAGGGGGCTCCACATTTCTTATGTTTTTATGTTTTTTACCTTCTAGTCTGGGGAGCCTGAAGATTTGGCATATTTCTGACTATAGAAAGAAAAAAGGTTGAGAAACACTGACAGCAAACTCCTCACCTTGGTCGCAGCACTTGCGGCTGCAGAGGTGGGCAGACGGCTCTGGGTGCCTCTGCAGTACCCGGGCACCTCGCTGCTCAGAGACAGAGAAGCTGAGGAAGAGTCCAGGGAAGCGTCTGATCCAGCAGTCGTGGTAGAAGGCGGTGTGAGGGCACAGGGCGCTGGACATACACAGGACCGGCAGGAAATCCAGGAGAGAGAAGACCAGGAAGAGGGAAGACTCCACATTCAGTGCCATGTCCTCAGGGTAGAAGAGACGCGGTCCTGCAGAGGGACAAAAGAAGAGAGTCATTCTCAATGGACAATCAGCAGCCTAAACCAAAGGTTTACCCTTCTCTAGAGACCCCACATAACACGGCTACCAAGAGAACATTTAAGACACATTAATGCAGCTCTGTAATTATTATGACATCATTACTAGTCCCTGTACAGCAGAGCTCAGAGTGGGGGAAGGAGAAGCAGCACAAGGAGCCATTCAGTTGTGAGCCATTCAGCCATATGCTGATAGGAGGAGAGAGCACAGAGAGATGAGGCCATTAGTCTGCTGCATCTACGTCATGTACAGTCACAGGCTGGGGAAGGGTCAAGACATGATGCAAGTGTTACTGTACTGCAGCAGAGAAAATGAAGGTCTCCTGCCTTGCTAGACCAGGCTGTGCTGTGTGGTAGAGCTGTGTAAATCTCAGGACTGGATATACAGAATTCTGAGAATTCAGATATCAGTGTAGTCAGAGAACTCGGATATCATTGTAGTCAGAGAACTCTGATATCATTGTAGTCAGAGAATTCGGATATCATTGTAGTCAGAGAATTCGGATATCATTGTAGTCAGAGAACTCGGATATCATTGTAGTCAGAGAACTCGGGTATCATTGTAGTCAGAGAATTCGGATATCATTGTAGTCAGAGAACTCGGATATCATTGTAGTCAGAGAACTCGGGTATCATTGTAGTCAGGGTCGGAGAATTTGTATATCAATATAGTCAGAGTCAGATAATTCAGATATCATTGTAGTGAGAGAATTCGGATATCATTGTAGTCAGAGAATTCAGATTTTATTGTAGTCAGAGTCAGAGAACTCGGGTATCATTGTAGTCAGAGTCGGAGAATTCAGATATCATTGTAGTCAGAGTCAGAGAACTCGGGTATCATTGTAGTCAGAGTCAGAGAACTCGGGTATCATTGTAGTCAGAGAACTCGGGTATCATTGTAGTCAGAGAACTCGGGTATCATTGTAGTCAGAGAACTCGGGTATCATTGTAGTCAGAGTCGGAGAATTTGTATATCAATATAGTCAGAGTCAGAGAACTCGGGTATCATTGTAGTCAGAGAATTCGGATATCATTGTAGTCAGAGAATTCGGATATCATTGTAGTCAGAGAATTCGGATATCATTGTAGTCAGAGAATTCGGATATCATTGTAGTCAGAGAATTCGGATATCATTGTAGTCAGAGAATTCGGATATCATTGTAGTCAGAGAATTCGGATATCATTGTAGTCAGAGAATTCGGATATCATTGTAGTCAGAGAATTCGGATATCATTGTAGTCAGAGAATTCGGATATCATTGTAGTCAGAGAATTCGGATATCATTGTAGTCAGAGAATTCGGATATCATTGTAGTCAGAGAATTCGGATATCATTGTAGTCAGAGAATTCGGATATCATTGTAGTCAGAGAATTCGGATATCATTGTAGTCAGAGAATTCGGATATCATTGTAGTCAGAGAATTCGGATATCATTGTAGTCAGAGAATTCGGATATCATTGTAGTCAGAGAATTCGGATATCATTGTAGTCAGAGAATTCGGATATCATTGTAGTCAGAGAATTCGGATATCATTGTAGTCAGAGAATTCGGATATCATTGTAGTCAGAGAATTCGGATATCATTGTAGTCAGAGAATTCGGATATCATTGTAGTCAGAGAATTCGGATATCATTGTAGTCAGAGAATTCGGATATCATTGTAGTCAGAGAATTCGGATATCATTGTAGTCAGAGAATTCGGATATCATTGTAGTCAGAGAATTCGGATATCATTGTAGTCAGAGAATTCGGATATCATTGTAGTCAGAGAATTCGGATATCATTGTAGTCAGAGAATTCGGATATCATTGTAGTCAGAGAATTCGGATATCATTGTAGTCAGAGAATTCGGATATCATTGTAGTCAGAGAATTCGGATATCATTGTAGTCAGAGAATTCGGATATCATTGTAGTCAGAGAATTCGGATATCATTGTAGTCAGAGAATTCGGATATCATTGTAGTCAGAGAATTCGGATATCATTGTAGTCAGAGAATTCGGATATCATTGTAGTCAGAGAATTCGGATATCATTGTAGTCAGAGAATTCGGATATCATTGTAGTCAGAGAATTCGGATATCATTGTAGTCAGAGAATTCGGATATCATTGTAGTCAGAGAATTCGGATATCATTGTAGTCAGAGAATTCGGATATCATTGTAGTCAGAGAATTCGGATATCATTGTAGTCAGAGAATTCGGATATCATTGTAGTCAGAGAATTCGGATATCATTGTAGTCAGAGAATTCGGATATCATTGTAGTCAGAGAATTCGGATATCATTGTAGTCAGAGAATTCGGATATCATTGTAGTCAGAGAATTCGGATATCATTGTAGTCAGAGAATTCGGATATCATTGTAGTCAGAGAATTCGGATATCATTGTAGTCAGAGAATTCGGATATCATTGTAGTCAGAGAATTCGGATATCATTGTAGTCAGAGAATTCGGATATCATTGTAGTCAGAGAATTCGGATATCATTGTAGTCAGAGAATTCGGATATCATTGTAGTCAGAGAATTCGGATATCATTGTAGTCAGAGAATTCGGATATCATTGTAGTCAGAGAATTCGGATATCATTGTAGTCAGAGAATTCGGATATCATTGTAGTCAGAGAATTCGGATATCATTGTAGTCAGAGAATTCGGATATCATTGTAGTCAGAGAATTCGGATATCATTGTAGTCAGAGAATTCGGATATCATTGTAGTCAGAGAATTCGGATATCATTGTAGTCAGAGAATTCGGATATCATTGTAGTCAGAGTCGGAGAATTTGTATATCATTGTAGTCATGGTCGGAGAATTTGGATATCATTGTAGTGTGTTGGGTATTCACAAGAAATGTCTGTCTCAGAAATGTCTGCGGTCTGTGCAGTTTTTATGGAGGGAAGGGATGTGAGCGCCAAGCCGTAGGGGTTGGTCCAGACATGAACTTTGATTTTGTACAATAAAAGGATCTGTCCCATGTGATTCGCGGATTGCGTCCAAATCCCTCTTCATCAGGGTCTAGGTGTACTGTGAGAGTAATCTGGATGTGAAGCAGTTAGAAGCTCGCTCAGTAGTTTCCTGGCAGTGGTATCTGATGGCACATGAAGGCAGCATTCCCCTTACCTGTACACCATAAGCCCCCCTCACTCACCTGTGTCCGGAGGGCACTCTCCCGGCCGTGGATCATGATGCCCCTCGGCTGCAGCAAAGCGTTTTGTGTCTCTCTGTCGTCGCCCACGTCTGTCTCCTCTCTCCCCCCATCACATAGTCCCGTCGTCCTGTCCTTTGCTCTGCGTAGGGTGAAATACTGATACCTGGGAAGGAAGGGGGAAGAAAGGGGGGGAGGGGGCGACTGATGATTGGCTGTCACTTTAAAAGAAACCAAACTGAGGAATCTGAAACTGTACTGCTGCCTTTTCCCAATTATTATATTAATCTTTTAATGCCGATGTAATGAAAAAAACACGAGTGTATGTTTCCTGCGCACTGATAAGGCATTAGGGTGCGTCTGGTTCCGTTTATCACATGTTTACAATGTATCTGGGTATTTATTTTCTGTTTACGTATTTATTCCTTGTACTAAAGAGGGAAAACAACCCTAATTAAATGATATTTTGTTTGCTAAAGCGCTGTGTATCACAAACAATTGTCACTTTTAAAGATAGAAATCCTGTTTTAATCCTTTGTTACATCTCGTTGCTGCTGATCTCCTGCAACCTTTTTGTAGCCGCTTCCTGTCTACATACACTCCAGCGATGGCTGCATGGCATTTTTCAGGGCAGGTTTCCTGATGGTGACAACAGCGGACCATGTCTGTGTAATGTTTGTTGAAACAGCTACTTGTAGTCACCATTGGAAGCCTGTGACAACGCAGGAGCACAACAGGGAGACAGGGACAGAGTGTTGTCACCCCATCACAGGTAGTGCCTGAGCAAGGACCTTC